TTTAGAGCCGGCTCTTTGAAGTGAACGACACGAGCCGGCTCCTTATTGCGAGCCGTGGGTTCTTTTTTCTTTCTCTCACCCTCTCTCTCGACTTTTTTCCCGCTTCACTCCACATGCGAGCCTTGTGCTTTTGCTGGCGAGGGGGGAGGGGCGGTAGTTACACTCGCAGTAGCACAGGAACAGAGCGGGAGAGAGAGAGAAAGAGCCAGGGACAACAACGTCACATTAGAAAGGTATAGTAATCATCCACAACTATTTTCAGTTGCAGATGATAAAGGATTCAGAAAGTTTATTCATGCAGGTCCATATGACAGAGAATGTGCATCTTCTTTTTGTTTTCATATTTTAATTTATATTTAATTGTGTTGTGGTTTGCAGTGTTTTGTGTTGTTTCACTTTAAATTTGTTTAAAAGGAAAAAGCTGAAAATTTAAATAGTTAAAAGTTGAAATGTGAATAGTTGGTTTTTGTATTATATGATTTATTTATTACATTTTATGTGGAGTGAATAAATAAAAGTATATTTACGGTGGCCCCTAGAGACAAAGCACTACAAACTCAAAACACGTACAAAACACAACAGAAGTGCTCCAGGATGCTGGGCGCAGTGTTGAGCTTTTGTTACCTAGTGGCTACACAAGCCAGCAAGTACCAACGACCGGATTTGGTGTGTGGTAGTAACAGGTAAATGAACTTTTTTTTTTTAATTATTTGAATATATATGAGTGCTTGTGTATAAATACACAAACAATACACACATGCTTTCAATTGTGTAATTTAAGTGATCTAGTAGCTCTGTTTTGGAAGTTCAGTTAACTGCCGTTCGAGCCGAAAGTGCCGGCTCTCTAAAAACAGCCGGAAATCCCATCACTAATTGTTTGAAACAACCAAAAAAACATTAAAACATTATTTATTTACTTATTTTTTAGCTCCAGTGCCGAACAAACATGTGAAAACATCTGTGTTGACAAACAGTAAAGAAGCAAACCAGCCTGGAAATCTTAGATATTTTCTTTATAAGCAAAAGCAGTAAATTCATTTCCAAGCCTTTTAGAGTTTAAGATTTTTATTATCAAATGTACAGATTACTGCCGAGAGATAAAAAGCTCACCTGGATATCGTGTAAATGTTAAAAACTGTTTCCAGAGACAGATATTTAACTATGCTTTGTTCTGTATGAATCTGACCACACACTGGTTCACTATGTTCATGCTAAAGCTGAATGCTAGCAACATAAACACTGGCACTATGTGTTTGTGCTGAGTTCAGCCTCATGTTGATATCTGAGCACAGAAGAAGTCCTGTGGTTCATGAGGACGGGGATCCATGATACTGGTTTCACTAATCGGACTCTCAAATGCTGTATGTTGCCTTACATCACTGGTGTTGATGTAGTGATGTCCAGCTGCTCCCTGCTGCTCTCGCTCTCCTCATTTGCTTGTTGGATGTTGGTCCTCCTGGACGCCTTTCTCACCTGAGCTCGAAAAGTCTTACAGAGGTAAAAGTAAACAACAGGGTCCAGACAGACGTTGAAAACTGACACCATGGCGGCTGCCTCCTGCAGGTAGTACAAAACTCGACCCACAGAGCAGCTGGTCCGCAGAAAGGGGTAGGGAAGTCGAACCAGGTGATAGGGGACAAAGCAAATCAGAAGATGCTGACCAGCACCAACATGTTCCTGCGAGACTTCACCAGCTTCTCAGAACCAGAGGAGGCCAGCTGCCTCTGCTGTGCCTGCAACACCCTGCGGGAGATGCTGTAGTAGAAGAAGACCAGGGATATGAAGACTCAAGAGGACAATGATTGCAGAGAAGGTGTGGAGGATTTTGTACAGCAGGCTGACTGATGAACTAAAGGAATCAACACAGTAATTAGAGGTCAAAGGTTCCTTGGAGCTGATAAAAAAGCTGATAAAAGTGATTGTTGGAGCCAGGAGAATAACCCAGGTGATGACAGAGATGATTCTCGCAGTTCGTACTGTTCGTACAGTTCCTGAAGGATGTACGATTTTCCGATACCTGCAGACAGAAAAGGAAGGAGGCAGAATACAACTTCACTAATCACAACAGTGCCAAAACTGCAAAAGTAAATACTGAGCCAGAAAAAGGTACATTCATACTTTTGTCAGGAGCACAGGGTGTGTACTTAACCACTTAATCTAGTTTTTACGTTAAAGGTTTCTTTTTCTTTCTTTTTTTCTTTTTTTTCTTTTTTATGTTTCTCTACTGTCTCTTCTCTTCTTTCTTTTTCTCTTTGCCCTCATCTTCACCAAAGGAAAAGCAGGAGTCAGTTTAAAGCCCTGGTAGCTTTCAACCTCTGGACCTCCACAGCGATTAAATAGGAAGCCATTACTTCAAACAAATTATAAGCTTCATAAGCCAAGAAAAGGTTAAACTAGAGGCCCCTCTAATTTAACGTTAAAGGTTTCTTACCTATTGGCAGCGAGGTACGCCATAAATATGATGCTGGCGTACATGTTGAGGAAAAAAGCAGAAGCTCCAACTGTGCAGTGAGAGCAGCTGAACGATGGAGAGCTGCTGATGGCATAGTGGGCGATGCGCAGTGGCAGAGAGAGGCAGAGCAGGAAGTCAGCAGCTGTCAGGTTCTTCAGGTAGACCATCAAGCTGCTGGATGCCTGCTGCCGAGCCCGACAACAGTAAAACTTCATGATGAAGCCATTGAGGGGTAAACCCACCTGTAGAGACACAGAGAGGACGAGAGAACAGGACGTTTGTAGATGCACAGAGAACCTTAAACCAGTTCCTTAAAAAACCCACAATCTGATTATTTGAAACTTACCAGAAACACCAGACTGTAGACCAGCATAAAGAAAGGGTTGGCTGATGTGTCGACATTACCACAGTTCTCGTCCGAAGCCGATGTCTCGTTTTTTGAGTAAATCATGTTTCTGGACATGAAATAAAAAACACTTAATAAAACACTCTTTTAAACTGTATATAAATGCTAGGTTTCTCTTTGAAACAATATTTATTCATAGCATTTTAGTTATCTGTTAAATCAGTGTCAGACAAACTTTAAATATTATGCTACATCTCTCTTTGAGACAGTGGTTTTGAAATATGACCTCTTCTGGTGAAGGTTTAGACAGTTAAATAAATTTAGTTTCTATGTGATGCACCCATATGTTCTTGTAGTGTTGAAAGTAAAATTGAGACACTTAAATGCAAATACAGAAATCACTGACACCATCTTTTGTGTACAGTCTGTAGTTGTGGAAGGAAGCATTGATTAGTAAAGATGAGTCAACCCTCTCATGAATCTTATAAGAATCCATTAAGCACAAGCTGAAGCAGTGAGCTGTAGGAAGAACCTGGACTCATCGCTGAACATAACGTTCCTCTATATGTTCACGTTCCAGTGCACATGGTACTGACACCAGGCCTGACGGTGAAGGGCAGTTCCTGGACTCCAATGAGCTTGGATATCAAGTTAAAGGAATTTACTCAAATTGCCTGCAAGTTTATATATTTAAATGTTTTGTTTTTGCTGTTTTAATTCCTTTAAAGAATGAAGTGTGCAATATAAGTAAAATTGACTTTGACATTGAAATTATCACGATGACTGTGTGGCAGGCAGAGCTAGGCCCCAATAGCAGGACTTGGAAACAAAGGGAGTGAACTAAAAGAGGCAGCTTTAATTACTCTAATACTGAACGCTAAAGCACAAACATACAAAGCTAAACAAAATAGAAACTAGAAACACTTAACTTAACCCTTGTGTGGTGTTCGTATTTTTGTTACTCAGCCAGTGTTCATGGGTCTGGTGGACCCGCTAGAGTTTTGGCTTTCCAAATTAACACTATCAAACAATTTTATGTTAAATTACTCAACAGATGTTTACTTCATCCCAATTACAAGACATATGAACAGCAAACATGGTTAATTTTTTCCCTTTACCTTTGTTAGATCACATTTATGAATTAATGTGCTTCTCGTTTTTTTTTTTTTTTTTATAAAATGTTATAAAAAATAAATCAGTTATAATCAAGTGGAGTGAGTGGAAAGACACAACACATTTACACGTGAAGCAATATGTTTCACAACTAAATGGGATCAGCTGCTCATCAATGGTGACATTAGGCCCAGGGTTGTAAAACAGGGGGAGGTGGTGCACACACTTATCCCACACTGTCCTGATGGCAGCTAGCTTGTCTCTCTGCCGTCGAGCTGGTCTGTTGTCTCGGTTATCAAAACGGATAATCCTGGAAATTTTGTGGAAGTTTTCCAGAGAACATTGATGCACGGAAAGGTTCTTGCCGGTTTCTGCATCCCACAGGGATTCTGTGGATTCCCCTTTGGACCTGAAAACTCCTGCAAGGATAAAAACCCCAAAGTAGGCCTTTGGGGTTCTTAGATGAATTTCAGAATCAGAATCAGAATCAGAAAGGGGTTTATTGCCAAATGTTGAGCAGGTTTACAACATTAGGAAATTGCTGCGGTGCTTCAGTGCAAACATACTGTCATAAATTGCGATTAAATGGACATGAAAAAATAAAAGTAGGAATAAGAATTAAAAGTGCTACGTAGAAAGATATGTGCATGAGATATACATGAGATATATACATGAGAATAAGAATTAAAAGAGGTGGAAGGTCCATCTCCTTCCACCTCTCTCCAAAAACACACCTTCCTTCTAGATTACTGCAATCCAGAATAATTTTCTGGATGGAATCTGGGATGAAAAGCTCAAATGAAGACTTGATGTCCTGCACATGAGTAACTGTCAGCCGTGTTGGCCCTGGCTTATCACAGTAACAGCTCTGCAGGGTGGCTCATTTCTTGGGCAAGAAGACCATTCAATTTCACCAGTTATTGACATCCATATTTCTTCACTTGCTGTCTGGTGGGCTTGTTCTGGTCCTGGAGCTGGCTGCAGATGGGGTACTCGTCTTCGTTTTGTTACTAAATGGTGCTCAACCTCATCCTCTTCTTCAAAGTCACTGTCAGACTCTGAATTTTCAGAAATGTGAAATATTCTGAAACCTCTTTGTCAACATCATCATCCGAAGCCCCTCTCTCTTCCAAAATCAATTGGATGGCCCTCGCAGCAGATAATCTTTTGCCATCTTGATCAGTTGTGATAAAGAACCACACTGGCAAAGTCTTATTTATAGTATTATGCCCCTAATTTGCAGGTGGGACAGGGTATGAGAAAATAAAATTTGGATCCCTCAAGAAAGAGGGTAAAATGTGTGGGAATGTAAGAGCAGACGGTGTTGATAGTTGAATTTTCAACAATGTTGCAACTTTGTGCGGGAGCAGGAGGGGAAGAAAACACTATCAGCAGCACCAGAAAGGAGGAAGACAGAGTGTGGGAACACAGGACCTGCACTTTCAACACTTTTATTAGACCTGGGTCCAGTGGACCCGAACACCTTGTATGTAATGTAAATGCGTGGGGGGAGGTACAGTATGAGGTCATTGAAAATTAGTTCGGATTTATGTTCTTCACAGAAAATAAGCCAAAGCCAATGAATTTCAGGTTGAAAAAATAATTAATTGTTTAATTTTTCTTTTGAGAAAAACTGAAAACGGGTCTCACAGACCCGAACACCATACAAGGGTTAATACAAGCAGGATAATGAGAGGGTACACACTGGGACCAGAGAGAAACTAATTACTTGGAACAGATGAACTTTGAGGTTGCATGCTCAGTTAACTAAAAGTATTTTTTATCATGATGCTGGATTGACATCTCTTGAACGCTGAACTCAGCTGTGTTATTAATCATTGATTGTTTTTGCTCCGCATGTCAGGAACTATTAAAAATGATAATTGTCATTTTTTAAAATCAGCAGAAGCACAAAAGATGTGAGTCTGAGAATCCAGCTGAACCTGTATTTAACGTATCCCTCTGCAGTTTTTTGTGATGATGAAAAGTTACTTCTGTTATGTCTTCCAGGTTAAATTGTAAACCATAAAAGACACAGCGCAGCTCTAACCTCAACCCTGTTGTCTTTCCTGTTTATGACCACTGAAACTGCTGCACAGAAAACTCAGACACGTAACTTCCTGATTAGTTGTTAAAAGTTAGTTAGAATTTAAATTTTTGTAGGTCATAAAGCCTTGGTGGTTTAATGGCATCACTGTAAATCAGAAAACACACAATGATCGATCGTCTCTTGTAACCTGACTTGCTGATAACTTGTGTTAAACAGGTTTTATATTGTGCTGAAAAAGTATTTGACCCCTTCCTGATTTTTTTCTTAATATAATGATGTGTTAGTCACAGTATGTTCTAAACAACATTATCATGTTTGAGCGTAAGGTTGTTTGTCCATGCACCTGGCACCAGGACACCACGAGACGATTCAACCATGTTTCTGAAATTGCTACCACTGCAAACTCATTTTGGAATTCATCAAGATACGCTTTGATTTTAGAAAAATTACTGTAAAGACTCCGACTGTTAAAGTGGATTAATGAAAAACCTTTTATCTTGGGATCCAACTCTTCCCATTTATAATATTCACATGTCATATCAACATTCAGTTAGAGGTGGATATCTGGATCAATACTATTGTCCAACTCATAAAATATATAATCATGAGATCCAAAATATTAAATTTTGTGCCTTCTTTTTTTTAGTTATTTTTCTCACACTTATCAGATATTGTTCATATCACAGTCAGCAACACAATTCTTTTCTACACTGAACTCTGTTTCTTTTGTTTAAATCTCTCAAGATCTGCAATGTCTCTGACAACAATTACTTTAGCTTGTTCTGGTGTCCCATTAAGTCTTATGAATACCTTACATTCCTGGTCCAGGTATCTTGGATGTGCTTCTTCAATAGTCTTGCCTGTCGTGCAATTTCAGCATTTCTCTTGGTGAGATACTCATTCACATATACACCGGTTCCCTTTAACTTCTTTCCCATCTTTAACAGTTCAACTTTATATTTCCTGCTCACAAATCGTAGTATGATAGTTGGCATCTTCGTATGTTTTTGTGGAATAGTATGACATGCAGCTATGTTTTTGCTATCCAAAAGATTAATAATAATTATTTAATAATAATTATTAAAAATATTCCTTCACGTCATTATGCAGGCTGCAAATAGAGGTGACATGGCCCGTGAGATTGAGACACAGGCATTTGAACCTCTTAATTGAGTGTTTTGTTTGGGTTTCCACCAGCATGGAATTACCAAAAATAGAGAGGGCATAGTCTAACATATGAAACAGGGAAGTACCGCTGTGTAATCCATGTATTTCAACAAAATAACTGTATTCTGAATACCACCTTTTTAAACGGTAACTGTAACGGAAAACAGTTACTCATATTTTGTATTTTAAATACGTAACGACGTTACATGTATTCCATCACTCCCCAACACTGCCTGTTATCCTGTCTTCCTTCTCTCACCCCAACCAAACACAGCAGATGGCCCCGCCCCTCCCTGAGCCTGGTTCTGCTGGAGGTTTCTTCCTGTT